AGTAATACTGATCACCAGTTAATTATTTCCAAAGGTCAGTATAATAAACAAAATTTTTTTCAACAGAGTTTGAATTTGTTAGACTGGCAGCTTTTTAAAAATAAATCTCTACATTTCAGGAGTTGAGGATGCTGAAGAACTTCTCTTCCCTGAAGGCCATCATTTCAGGATTGCAATCAAATCCTATATACAGATTGAAGAAGACGTGGGGTGCTGTCATAAAGGATAAGGTACAATATCTCTCTCTAAATTGAAATATGGTTGACTATGTTGATGGACTTGATTGAATTTTTGACTTGCAGATGTCATTATATACCCAAAAAAGTGGAATAGAAGGCTTGGAATATTGTTTTTGTATAGAATAGTGTTAATACAAATAGAAAAGATGAATGGAATTGTAGAGTGGAGTTTTTATTTTATTTCAGTATAAAGATCTCATTTACTCAAAGTCCCTGGGGTTTAAATTTCTTTGGTTTTCTCTTAGGCTGAGCTTTTTGAAGAATTGGCAAGAATCTTCAGTGAAGAAAATAATCAGCTGAACCAGCGAGAGTTACTCATGAAGGAGGGAACTGCCAAGCATGCAGAGACTGCTCATGCTAATGACAGACATCTTCCAAAGGCACTAGAGAAAATGGCAATCAACCCATTGGTGAGTAATAGATAATAAGTATGCTTATTTTCCTTTCTTTGTTTACTTTATGTTCTTGCCTGCATATGTCATTTTGGTTTAAGATATTGCATAAATGATATTCAGAAATATCAAGTGTACTCACTATTATAAATTCACGAAATTATAGAACACATGAAATTTGATCAGTCGAGATATTTGATTAAAAGATACTGGGTGCCTAGTAGTAAACAATCTTATTTCATTTCAGGCTGTGAGTTATGGAACCATTCCATATCTTGGTACATTCCTGACGGATCTCACAATGATTGACACAGCTATTCCTGATACTGTGTCTAATGGCCTCATTAACTTTGACAAGAAGCGTAAAGAATTTGAGGTTCTTGCTCAGGTTAGTATTTCATGGGCTCGTATATTTGTTCAGACAAATGAGGAAGAGAAAAAATGGGTTAAAATCTGTGAAATTGATTTAAACATAATATCAACTCTTGTATAATACCAATAATAGTTTGTATACATTTATTGTGGATGATGTATTAATTCAGTTTTGGGCCACACAGATTCGTCTGCTACAAGGTGCAGCTAATGCATACCAGATGGTAAGGGATGAGATGTTTGAGAGATGGTGGGACTCAGTATTGGTTTTAGATGACAAGGAGGCTTGGAGGCTGTCTTGTCAGATTGAACCTCAAGGATCTTCAGCTCCATCATCAACTAGAGAGAGTAGAATGCGGAAAAGAGCACAGTAAGTATTGAATGTACCCATTTTTGTATTTTTGGTTAAGCTTTAAATTCAGTCATTCTTGATATAGGATTTTTATGGTCTTCACCATCTTTGTTTGACATGGAGTTTGTTATGGGCTTATGGGGCCAACACCCCGTAAACAATTACAATTTTTCTTCAGGCCATTACCATAAGTGTGAATTTGACATACTGTTGATGATAGTAACAAAAAAAGTGGATTAGGCTTGTATAATTAATTGTTTGTAAAGTAGCTGCTTTTAAAAACAAGACATTCATTGGATGAGTGTGATTGCATGGTGGAATCTTTGGTACTTTACTTTCTGAAGGAATATTGGCCCACTTCACATATGCTAGTTCTTCATTTTTACAATTTAAGATATTAATGTTTTGTCTGTAGGACAATTTTTTTTTCTTTCTTTCCTTTCTTTTTTTTTTCTTCCTTATGTTAAACGCTTGATATTTTTGCAGATTTAGTCACAGGAAGAACGACAGCATAGCAAGTACTTCTAGTGGATCATCTAGTAGTCAGTTCTTCTTTGATAATGATTCAATCAACAGCCCAACAAGTCATAATGACACATGTTCTCTGGAGAGAAAGGTATTTAGAATGTGCATTCTTGTTATACTAATAATTTGCATCTAGAAAGTGTTGGTAATTTATCAGTAAATGTATGAATTATTCAGAATATTATTGTATATAATTCTTATGATAAGTTCACTCACTTTGCACATTGTTTCACTTTACAAAATTTAACATTGCTGTTTGTCTTCAGATGTCAACTTCTTCAAGCAGCTCGTCCCTACCTTCCCTTGACGTTTCTGTTCACTCTGGTGGCACTTCCACATCTGGTCGAACACCAGATCGTACCTCAAGCAACTCACAGCAGCAGCAGTCAACGCAATCTCCTTATATTACTCCAGACTTTTACATTATTAGAGTTTCAATTGAGAGTAGTGCCCATGAAATTGAAGGTAAATAAGTTTCACTTCTGAGAGTCATAGCATTTTAAAAGAGAAGTGTGTTATTTTGTTTGCTTTGTTTTTCAAGTGAAATATTTTTGTCTGTAAAATACTCAAATATGATTCTTTTCATTCCAGGTGTTAATCTCTACAAAAGCATAATGCTGAGCAACTCAGAACGAACAGTGTCAGTAATTCGAAAAGCCATGGAAAAGCATGGATTTGAAGGCAATCCTGAGGACTATACTCTTGCACAATTCCTACCTGATGGTGGTAAGTTTAGTGATGTGGTAGATATGTACATTTCATGCATTGGTCAGTATTTAATGTGAAACCAGAAAATGTTATACTTCCTGATTGTCTGTCGAATAGAAAAAAAGTGCTCAAAAAAAAAAATGTAGATATAAGAAAGTGTAATTGTTACTTTTGAGTGTGTTTTTCCTGTTTGATAATTGGGTTAGAAAATTATGTTTGAAAATTAGCATAAGGAAAAGATTGGTAAAGTGTTCATAATATTTATCATTTCTATTTTTTCTTCCACAGAAATGCTACTTCCTGCCTCTGCTAATGTTTACTACGCCATCAACACTCAGTATGACTTGAACTTTGTTCTTAGACGGCGAAGACATGGTGATGAAAACACAATAATCAGAAAGAATCCTGTTAAAGATCACAAAATGAGGAAAAAGCTCCTGATGGCTTAGTTTAAGGATCTCTTAACTAGTGATGCATCACTTACCAAGTGATGTCAATCACTCTGCCTGTGGACAGCTACAGCATTGGCACTTAACTTGTGGCTTTTCACTTAGTTTATATCCAATACTTCCATTTTTGGCAACTTTACTTATCAGTCACTCATGACAATTGAGCCATGAGACATGAATATGCGCCACTGATTCTCTGGCCTACTCATTATACAATGTATAAAATGCAAGAGACATTTTACACTAAAATGTTAAAAACTGTGAGGGTGTGCCTAATACACAAATGTATGCGTGCTTGTATGTGTGTGTTTGTGTGCATGAATTTTATGAGAAATTCAAACTCTGTCTTACAATGACTGATTTTTATTCAACGATTTATCTTAACTACTGAATCCATTCCCTGTGAAATTTTGATTTCTAATATTCCTGGGTTGTAAAAGTGGAAATTTGTAAAAATTTTCCCAGGGCTGTGAATTTATTCTTGCTTCTCTGGCTGTTATGTGGTCTTATGCATGATAATTGGGGGGGGGATCTCCAAATTGATAATGATGAAATCATGTTTGATTGTCTTGTATAGACTAAATATTGAGATTTTTTGTAAAACATTGACAATCAGACGGATGCCATCATATTTAAAAATACTCAAGTATTGTGCATCTACATGTTCATTTGATTTTTTTTTATGCTTTGAAGTTTTCACATTTAAGCTTTAATTTTTTATATTTTTGGAATCTGGTGAAAACTTGAGTTATGAGTTACGAATGTACATGTTGACCACAATTTGATTTATTTATTACTCTTTCTTAGCACCCTTCTGTAGCACCCTTTTAGAGTAGTCTCGTGGGGCAATGATATTTGTCTTGAATTAGAGACCGAAGCTAATTCATGACAACACCACGTGATAGGAAAAAAAACATTTCCTATTATCTTAAAAGATAATAGAAAATGGATTACTGTGCACATGACTTGCTATATAGACCTAAGCTTGTCCTAAATTACTTTTTTTTATTTCAAAAAAATAAATAATTTCTCAAGTTTCTGTACTAAAAAAAAAAAAAAAAGATGCTTTCCATTGTCAGAATGAAATTTTGGCCTGAAATTCTTTTAGATTTTACCGAGTAAAAATATGCAACTAGTAGATTATCACCACAGTATTGGTGTGTTTATCCAGTGAAAAGAATTGAGGCCAACTTTAACTTCCTAATAGCCTTGGTCTCTTTGTCACTCAAAGAGTTGTTTTACAGAGTTCAAATTTTATCTTATGATATTGTAAATACTGTGTAGGCTATGTTGTATACTTGTAAAAACACTATATTGTTACCTTTGTAAATAAATTTATTATTTCTTGATGTTATTTATGTTCCCTGTATTATGCTTTAAGAAGATAAAATAAACTTGAAATCCAAATGCATATCCAGTAGTTCAACTAAGATGTATTGAAGCATAATAAACATTCTCTCTATTGTCTCTCAAAGTTACTGGCAAAGCTGTTATTATGGATACAATTAAATTGAAGCTGTTGCACAAGTACTAATCAAGAACAATTGTAATTATTTGTCTAAACTTGGGTAACTCAAAATTATTTTTAAAATTCAAGCAACATGAAGAAAAAATATATTCATTGCTTTTAATGCCTTCATTCATTAAAAGAACCTGTCATCAATTATTTGCTAAGCAGGACTGGAAAACAAGAACATATAACTAGGTGATGATATCTTAAAAGTGCAAAATACAGGTATTAGGTTAAATTCACAAATATACTGAAAACAGATTTGCATGAATAACTGGGTGTACATAGAACATTTGTAGAGATAGAAAGAAAAATGGAATTAAGACACATCAAAGATTAAATGAGGCTGAAAAAATCTAATCTAATCATTAATAATATGTACTTGCATAAACCTAAAAATGAATGGCAATAGTACAGGTCTGGAAAATATATATAGTGTAAATAAAACAATAATGATATTTCCTCTTTTACTTAATATCCACACATGGTAGCAAAAAGTAATAATATATCTTTCCTCTCCTATAAATAAGTCACAGCAATCATTCTCACAAAAGAGACACTATGTCAAAAGTATCTGAATGTTCAACTGCTGAACAATATTTTGCACCTCTGTACCAGAAAAAATACATAACCTTTTGGAAACTGGGAATTTCTACTTTGTAATAGTAATTTCTATAGTGCATTCAATCTGGATGTCTAGCCATCGTTCCTTGGTGTGCAGGACAAGGTCACTGCTGAGAAGGGACAAGGAACAGTTTATCAGGAATCTGGAAAACCATTTCCTAGTAAAATGACCTTTGTTCTGCCTACCAAGCCCTGAGAAAGCTGAACTCCAAGCCCTCTTCACAGATAACTGCAGTCTGCTCAGCAAGTGGCCAGATAATCTCAGATCCTGTTGGGGTGCAGGTGCTTTGGTCTGAGAATTTTGAGCAGTTGTACCAAGGTGATCCACCAACAATTAACTTGGATGCGGGTAGTGTCGAGATTCCTTTGCCAGACCTACTCATCAGAGAGGATCCACCCTCCCTGACTCAAATCAGGGGGACGATCTCCAAGTTGAAGAGTGGTAAAGCAGCAGGTATCTGCAGCATCCTAGTTGAACTGTTAAAGGCTGTTGGAGAACCTATGGCAAGGGGCTGGCATGCTGTCCTGCCTGCCATCTGGTAGACTGGTACCATTCCCCCTAACCTGCTGAGGGGTGTGGTCATCCCTCTCTGGAAGAGGAAAGGGGGTTGGTGGGACTGCAGCAATCACTGAGGCATTACACTACTCAGTATACTGGACAAGGTTCTTGCTCACATCCTTCTAAGACATTAGAGACCACCTGCTGAGGCACCAGATGCTGGAGCAATCTGGATTCACTCCTGGTAAGTCCAAAATAGACCATATCCTGATGCTTCGAGTCACTGTAGAGCCCCACTTTGAGTTCAGGCATGGGCTGCATGCTCAAGGTTACTGTTTGCTCAGGTCACTCTGGGAGATCCTTAGACTGAGAGGAATTCCAACAAGGATTATTGGATTAATAGCAAGCCTGTATACTGGTACTGAAAGTGCTGCAAAGTGTGGTGGGGTTTGTCAAGTGTTCTTGCACCAATACTATTCAACACTTGCATGGACTATATACTGGGTAGAGCTACTGTCCAATGTCACTGTGGAGCAACTCTGGGCAATATCAAGGTTACAGACCTTGACTTTGCTGATGATGATGCTATTCTTTCTGAGTCTCTATAAGCCCTAGTGGCAGCTCTTGATGCATTTAACAATGAAGTGAAGCCCCTTGGGCTAGAGGTCTCCTGGATCAAGACCAAGATCCAGGACTTTGGGGGCCTGCTAGAAGATCTTGTTCAGTCGGTACGTGATTGCAGCAAGAACATCGAGGTCACAGAGAGCTTTATGTACCTCGGTAGTGCAGTTCATGACTCTAGGCTGTCAGACCAAGAAGTCAGTAGACAGATTGGCCTGGCAGCAGGGGGTCACAGTTTTACTATACCTGACACCTGAATGTTATCTTGTGCTTTGCAATCTCATCTTAATGCCTTTTGTAACAGGTCCTTGCACCAGATCATGAGGTACAGTTGGCAGGACCATGTGTCCAACCAGTGATTGCACTGTGAGACTGGTACAGGACCTGTTACTTGCACAACTCAGGCTATACGGCCACCTGATTTGTTTCCCACAGGATGATCTTGTCCACCAGGTTGTTTCTGTTTAAGACAAGCCTGGGTGGAGGACCTAGGAAGTCATGGCTTGGGCAGATCAATCAAACCTGTCATGAAGAGCTAGAAATGGGCCAGGCCCCTACCTGGCAGTTCGCCATGAGGGACCCTAGGTGAAAGCAAAGGGTGGATGCAGCTATGAGCCCCCACCAGCATAGGCTCACCAATGATGATAATGAATCATGAGTGACAGGGATGTATTGCAGTTGGTAAGAATAATAATATCTGACAACTAATTATAGTGATGGTATTTGCTTCTTCTCGACTTTAGCTTATTAATTTAAAATCAAGTTTTTGATATTAATCATTTATAATGTCACATGTGACTGAAAATTTTGACAATAGTTGGATTTGCTATTTTTGTGGTAGCACTAAGTCACCCTCCATTGGGTAAGTGCTTAATCACTGATCAGCTGATCAGTAATCATGTTCAGAGGGAAGGGTGTGAATGAAGCCTATACAATTACAAATTCTTTCATTTAAAAAACTACTTTAGTTCTATCATTGATACTGAATACTAACTATAATAATCTTTTGTCTTAGATGTACTTTATTCTTGATATGATAGCTCTCATTTTATGTCTATGGCCTCTCCTTAGCTTTCATCTTTTTTAGAGGCTCATTCACAATTATAGAGAGGTATACTCGTAATGCAAAATAAATGCAGAATTAAAGGCCTTAATCTGAAGCCGTATGAACATGCCAAGCCCACAGTGCATTTAGTTTATTAATTGTCTGTTTACATAGATGGCTCACCAATTAGCCAATTACTAGTACTATCTCATTTAGGAAATATGTTCTTTTATCTTATATTGCTGGTAGTAATGTCACTAATATTATTTTAATTATAATGTCTCTAATAACAACAGTATCAATATTGATGAAAAGTGAAATCAAGTGAGGTCACAAAGTCAACTAACTGACAACTTGGTTGCTAAGCACTTATGGAGCCATCTATGTGCAGAGACATTTCACAAAACAATACTACAGTGAATACTACATTTTCCCAGTGGCAGTGGATTAAAGTTTTATGATGAAATGTTATCAGGTTAGACATCGAGTGATGGTGTGTGGTGAAAACAATGTCACTATGGCACTACCAAACCATGACATGGCCTCCTATATATCCAGACTGAACACACTTTACTTAACATATACATCTATAAAACAAATTAAGTTACTTTTTTGGCACAGATTACAACCCTGTTAGCTTACGTGAAGGAACCTTGTGAGTATAGATACTCATAATCTTTTGATGTTACTCATAAAACAAACAAGAAATGAATGGAGCATTTAAAGTTATATAATATCTATTAAACAGATTACGCACTCCTTAATGTGACAGGAATCTAGCTGCTTTACTGAAAATAACCTGTTAAAAAAATACAAGTATTGAGTTTTAAACTAATAACCTCAAAATGCAGCTGTATCAAAAACGGATAGAATCACTCACTATTTCTCTATCCTTGGGTGACACTTCTGGTCCATACTAAAGGCAATTATTCTGAGTATTTTGCAACTTGCTAATTTATTTAACCACATTCAGATCAAAGGACCAAGGATTTGTCATACACATGCTGCCATTTCCACTAGAAAAAAATGATTACATACATATATAAAGCATTATATCTAATCTAATGTTAAAAACAAGAACTATTATATATACCAAAATTCTGAAAAAACTAAATACATAACATAGATAAACATTATAAAAGATTATCAGAGCCTGAAATCATGAAAACAAACTCTCCTAGAATATAACAGAGAGTCTTTGTAAATAGCAGCATTTAACAATAATACACCTAAAATGTCAAGATTTTCAGATATCTGAACACATTTTTCACTGAATGATATTGTTAATGACTAATTTGATTGTGGCACCTGCCCACTGTAATAACATTTTCTTATTGCCTTAAAGAGCAATGTTAGGGGCATCTTAAATAATAACATGAACCTTGCTCACTCAAAAGCAAGGTTGAATCTTAGGTGCTATCAGAAAGAAAAGAAAGGAAAAATACTCTTATAAGAAACAGCACTGGTCAACTTCTTCAAACAATTTCTTATAGAATATGTATATTTGCAGAACACTAAAAAAATTATTCAAGGCAAGCAAAATGGCCTGAGCATATGTATATCTAGATATGTTAAGTACTACATTTTGTTCTTAAGCAACAAAAATATTTAGAGGCATGTGTTATTTAGGTTTAAAGTTAAACAGTATCAAAAAATAAAAATCTGTATCTGTTAATAGAAAACTCCATTTGCCTGGTTGAGAAGGTAATTCTTAAAGAACTCATGAACAAAAAATGCATAAATAATGTTATATGTAAAATAAGATGCCTTGATACATTTTGCTTTGTTAAATGTTTGTTCATCATGCCTCTTTACCTTCCTCAATTGTGACTTCACTGTGATGTAGTGACACACATACTGCTAAAAGTAGATTTAATGAGAAAGATTACCAATAATGTAGAAATTGCAACAAAAGCAACATAACAGTGCTAATACAACACTGAAAAGTAATATCAAGAATAACTGGTTCTTTAACTTTGAAGGGCACTATATTACATAATTGTATTTACATATCAATGTTACATTTCAGTAGGAAGATGGTAAAAGATGTATGCATAGTGTGTTTCATTCAGGATAAATGTCTTTATGGAAGACATTATAAAGGCAGAATATCACTTAAAATATGCAGCACCTTAATCCATTTCATCTACAAGAATAACATAATGGCAATCATTTGTTAGATCATCAAGTGTTTCTACAATAATATTATCTGATGGCGGCTCAATGGATTCTTGTTCCCCAACTTCGTATATGACCTGTTCTCCCTGCGGCATTTGTGGCACTAGCAATAATTCATCTTTAGGTTTATTAGGAACATCATTTACTTCAACGGTGAGACTTCTTGTTTCCAGCAAAGCATGTGTCTCTTTCCCAGGTTGTACATTTAGGTTCAAAGTGTTTTGAGATTGTGAATAGTTGTGCCTATTTTTGCCTCCTCTTGCATCATATTTTTTTGCCGTTCCATGGCTCACTTTCTGTTTATTGCAGACTGAGGGAGAACCATTGTCTGAGTCTACAATTTTGGTTCCTTGACCCCTCTTTCCGAGAGTTTCATTCGGTGAAAGCTTTGATGAATGGCATGCTGAATCTGAATCAGTCTCCTTCCTGAAAAAGTGTAGATTGTTATAAAGATGATGAAGAGGAAGGTGAAGAGGAAGAGGAGAAGGAGAAGGAGAAGGAAGAGGCAGAGGAGGAGGAGAAAAAGGAGAAGGAAAAGGAGGAAAAGGAGGAAAAGGAGGAAGAGGAGGAGGAGGAGGAGGAAAAGGAGGGTATGAGGAAAAGGAGGAGGAGCAGGAGGAGGAGGAGGAGGAGGAGGAGGAGGAGGAGGAGGAGGAGGAGGAGGAGGAGGAGGAGGAGGAGGAGGAGGAGGAGGAGGAGGAGGGTGAGGAGGAGGAGGGTGAGGAGGAAGAGGAGGAGGAGGAAAAGGAGGAAGAGGAAGAAGAAGAGGAGGAGGAGGAGGAGGAGGAGGAGGAGGAGGAGAGAAATGAGGGGGGAGAAGGAAAAGGAGGAAGAGGAGGTAGAAGAGAAGGAGGAGAAAAGTAAGAGGAGGAAGAGTAGAAAAGGAGGAGGAGGAGGAGGAGGAGGAGGAGGAAGACATGGAGGAGGAGGAAGTAGAAGAGGAGGAAGAAGAAAAACACATAAACTGACTATATAAAAATTCCATATATAACATTCTAGGTGGGCTACTGATGAATAATAAGTGATTCAACTAAGAAGAGCTTTCATATATATTGGATAATCATTTAGCTTCATCAACCTTAATAAATTAAAAGTAGAAATATTCTTGAATAAGATAGTATTTAACATCAAAATGAAAATTTACACTCAATACAGCAAAACTTGAAAGAAATGTACAATGATATCATCTAAAACGTTCAGAATACTTTTCATTCGAACATTTCCAATGAAAAAAATATATAATACCAGTACTTACGTAACATTTTTTTCTTCACTGGCAGAACCTTCCTTTGTGCTTCCTTGACTAGGCTTAGACTTGCATGTTTCTTTATGAAGCTCCAGTTCAGCTTGGGTTGAAAAGCGCTCTTTGCATGCTAAGCACTTTAGAAGTAATGACCCATGAACCTAAAGATATGGAAATTACACTACAGTT